AAGACTAATCTCACTGATTACACAACAGTTGATTTAACAAACACTTTCTAGAATGCTCTCAATTAAACTATCGTTGTTTCAATTTAAAGCCTTAGCGTGTTGTCGGTAGGTCGGATATCCCTGATAAACTAGCACATCATTAGTATCCTGTTTACTATTGATAAACGGGTTTTTACTGGTAGACCGATTCCATCTCTGGAGGCATTGACAATAGCGTTCGAAACTTAGAAGAGACTAACGATCTTCTAGTCTCTATTGAATGCACTTTTATTCAAGAATTTTGATTTAAAACAGTAAATTTGAGATTATTAACTGTTATTATTTTTGAATAAATATTAAAATAAGAAAATTCATTGATATCTTTAGTTTGGTAATCTAGCACTTGGTCAACAAGCTCCAGCATTTTCAACAGTTGGTAAAGCATTCGTCGCACTTTTTCGTACTGTACTTGGTGATTTTGATTATGAAGCAATTAGTGATGCTTCACCTATTGCAGGACCATTATTTTTTTTTCTTTGTAAGTTTTTAATATTAATTTCAATATTCTAAAGTTTAAATCATATTTCAGATATATTCTCCATGGTCTTTATTTTATTCAACATGGTTTTAGTATGTTTTATATTTAATTATTGAAAGTTTTTTTTTTTTTTTTGTTCTTTTAAAATTGATCGATTTATATAGGCTATTATAGTCGATTCATATGAAGAATTAGGTAGTGAACATCGTGATGTAATTAATCGAATGTTAATTAATGTAACACCAGTTGTTAAACAATCGATTCGAAAATTTTTTGAACGATTTGGTCTTTGGAAAAAAGTTAAAGTTATTGTTCAATTTATAATTAGTGCTGAAGATTCATTTAATTCAAAAACAGTTGCTGATCTTTTACAAGAATTTAAATATTCTGCAACATCATCATTATATAATGAACTTCAACATGCATTTATACATGATATGACAAAATTAATATCAAAAAAAGATTTTGAAGCTTTTCTTAAATATTCACGTGATGATAAAGATCGTCAACGGGATACATTACAAAGTTTATTTTCTGGAAATACACCATTAATAGATTTTAATGAACAACAAGAATGGAGTAAACGTGCTAGAAATTTATGTACAATACAACAATGGTCACAATTACGATATCGAATAGCACGTTTAGAAGAATTATTTGATTTAATAGAAGGAAAAATTGATTATACAATTCGAACAACAAATAATTTACTTCAAACTGTAACATTATCTGTTGAAAAATCAGATAATGAAAATTTGTAATTAAAACAATCGTCTGTTTGTTTTTGTTTCTTTGATTATAGTTGTATACTTAAGTAATTCTATACATGTGTTAGTGAATCTTTTTTTGTTTTTTTATAATAATAATAATAATCTGTTATGTTATTATCTTATCCAGATTTTAATTCATATGTCATTATGATATTTGAATCACGAATGAAAATAAGAATATAAACAAACTATTTTGAAAAATAACATACATTATATTTAGCCTTTATTGTTCATAAACTATGCTTTGTCATTAGTTATAAATTTCAGATAATAATTCGTTTAGTTTTAAACTATAAAAGTCTGTGTATCTGATTGATTTTTGTTTATGAATGAAACATTCAATTTATTCAATAAAATTTATTATTTAAAAACAAAAAAATTTCTCTTTCATTCTAAACTAAAAATAACAAAGAATTAATATTTATTTAAATATAAAGCAAACAATTTTTCATATCAGATTCAACATAGTTACCAGGTAAGTAATATTTATCTTAAAAATAAACTAACCTTCATCATTTTAACCGCATGGAGTTCTTATTTTATTCTGCTATGTAAGGACAATATCTATGATCAAACAAAAAATTTTATCTTGTAACAGCAAACAATTGTTTAAAAATAGATGTTAGTTATATAAATAATTAATCTTCAGCAGTAATATAACAACATCAAACAAAAATGACTTCTTTTTTTTGTTGTTATATTAATTTCAATAGGGATTGCAGTGTGATATTTCATTCTATACGACCAACTATTACTAAGTCTGAATTAATCAAAAAATTTCCTTCTTCTTTTTTTTTTTCCTACACCAATGATTCTCTTCTTGTCCAACATATCGAATAATCTCAATGTACACGCAATAGAATATATATACGAATCTTGCTTATTCATACATACTGCCATCAATAATAAATGCATTATTGTACGATTTGACAAAGACATAAAAGAACGATTAGAAAAAGAAAAAAAAACTATATTCATCCTTCGAAAATCATATTAAAATATACTATCTTAATGATTGTAAAGAATGAAGTCAATATGTTCGTGAACTAAATAAAATCCAAACTCTAAGTATCAAGAATATATCAATAAAATATAAAAGATTTAACAAACACAAGAGAATTGTTTCAACTGATCAATTCTTAATAATACACATATTAAGTTCGTGATATGAAAAGATTGGTCATTATTATTGCTTTATTTGAGTCTTATTATTTAGTATCACTACTTTTATCTTTTATTACTTTTACGATTTTTAAACATGCAAACACACACGCAACACATATAAATAGAGATTTCAACATTACCTTTATACTTGAAAAACATATCTCTATTAAAATCATAGTAACAATCATCATGTTTACATTGATTTTTTTTATGTTGATGTCATCAACATTATTCGGAAATATATTTTATAATTATCATTCAACATGTAAGAAAAAAAAAATAAGAAAATAATTAGTCTGAACTATTAATAATTTGTATAGAACTACGTTCCAAAAAACAAAACATATTGAAAAAACAAAAAAAATAATACAAATATTTTCATTTAGTCTGTTTTAATAAAAAAAAAACAAAATATTTCTAAATTAAAATGAAAGCAATCAATTGAACTCATATGATAATCTATTTTTAATGAAAGTTCACATTTATTCCTTCTGTTCAATAATAAAATCCAACATTTGGCGTCATCTACTGTTTTGCAAAACAATGAATGGATAAAAAAAATGACAACGAGAAAAAAAAAGAAAGAAATATGGTCAGTTAGTAATGTTGGTCCATTCTTCTCGCTTTTATAGGTTAATGTCGTTTTATCGTTTCTTTCTTATATATCTTCATATAAATTTTATATATAAAAAAAAAAGAAGAAGCAAGTAAAATCTTTTAGTTTTTGTTAGATAAGAAAAAAAATGAATTAAATTCCTATTTGAGAATCTTATTTTCTTTGCATTCATTCCACTTATGATAAGAAGAAAATATAGTTAATATCATTTATATTCTCGTTTTGTCGATCAATGTCATCATTAATTGGTCCTCTTGGGAGTTTTTTTTTTCATATTTTTGTTCTTTTTAGCTGTATATTTAGTCGACAAGCGAAAAAAAAAAGAAGCAAAATCATAGTCAGAAGCTTCGTCTCATGCCATTTAAATCATGTTAATTCATTCTATAGAGACAGAATGAATGAAGGAACAAGAGAGTATAATGTTTGTCGTTGATTTTTTTATATTCTTCTTATGTATGTGTATGTGCTCTGTGTACACTACTTCAATCATTCTCCAAAAACTGAATGATATTGACCATGTGTTAACTAAATTTAGTTTGCTTGATTTAGCAAAAGAAAAGGAGGAGAGTTCACAATGAACTCTTTCATCGTCATCACGTTCGCTTAATTTTTTTCTTCATCATCAGATGATGAGATTCCATTTGCATTTTCTGTATGAGTTTGTAGTTGTTGCTTTTTTTTTCTGTTCTTCCCATTTTTGTATATGTAGTGTGATGAGGATCAAGTATTTGTCTGGGCGGCAGCAAAAGGGGCGAAGTAAAGAAAGACGAGAAGAAGAAGAAAAAATGAGTCGGGCAAGTAGTAGAGAAAGTAATTTTGTTTTCGTACAACTCTAGTCGTGTGTCGTTGAGTCATTCTTGATTGAGATACAGAGCAAAGAAAAAGAACGACAGACGAAGATGAATAAGGCCCAAAGAAAAAAAAAAAAACAAGAAAACACTGAGTATTTTATTCGTTCGTATGATTACTGCCGACGAGTCTCTTTTACAACAAGTAATTTTTTTTCTCTTGTGACAACCGAGTAAGATATACGTTTATGTTTTACTCTAATGACGCAACTGTTTTAATAAGTATTTTACTGAAAAAAATCTTTTTGTCAACAATATGATGCGAATGTTGTCTTTAAATACTAAAAATGAATATTACAATAGAGAGAATACATTTACTGTAATGTCTAGTTTTTTTTGTTTTTTTTTGGAATCAACATATGGAAATGAGATTACGAAGACTATTGAAATGGTCGATTCGTAAGCTTGCTTATAGAGCATATGTTGAAATGGAAGAATGATATTCATGACATATGTATTAATGATAAGGTCATTTTTATATTTATAATTATAGAATAGTAGAGATCTATCACGCAATAAAAGTTTTGTTTTTTTTTTTTGTATGTTAATTAATTCAGTTCTCTATTTTATAGATAGTTCAATAGGTTATATCTATTGAATGAAAGGTTTTTATTTTCGTACGAAAAAAAAAAAAAATCAACAACATAGAGATAATTGAATAGGAATAGGTGTCAATGATTGAACGATTGAATCATCTCTAAGCACGTGTTGACAAGGTTCAAAAGGTCAATAGAAGTGTGAAAAAGATTGATGTGTCATAAAACAGTAGCAGTACATGACACATAATTTATTTCACGTGCAAACATTTGTCTCCTACTATTATTATATCATTTGTATTTCAAATATGAACATCTGTTTTCAGTCACAAATTTATAAATGCATCATTAAACAAACTGATGTATATATATATACATTTATAGAACTATTCTTATGTTTATAGCTTACAGCACTATCATCATTTATTCTGTCTCAATAGTTCATCTATTATTATATTCATTGTTATTGTATTTTTTTTTAATATAAATAATATTTCAATTAAATGATTATTTTTTATAGATAAATATATAAGCTTCGAACGATTATTCATGTCGGATCATAATTTACTTGATGATGATGATCCACTTGTTTCGTTTGATCAACAACAACAATCATCAACAATAAAATCAAAACCAAATGATTCATTTGAACATCGTTTATTAGATGATATTGATCCATTTGGTAATCATAATCGACAAGATGAAATAAATCATAATGGAACAAATAATAATGATAATAAAAATTCAAATTCATTTTCATTCACCAATGATCTTTTTCCAATGGATCCTAATGAAAATGACATAAGTATAAAATATTTTCAACAAAAAAAAAACACACACAGAATCAATATTTTTATTTGTCATATTTAGTTAGTCATTCTAAAGTGCATAATAATGACGAATCGAATGATTCATCATTATTAAATTTTCAATCTCAATTAAATGGTACTATTGCAAACAAAAATACACTTTTACTTGAACTTGATCCTGATGCTCCAAATTCAATAAATCCTATGAATACAGATACACCATCACCAAATGATCCATTTAAACAATTTTCTAATCAATCATCAACATCACAACAAAATAATCAACTTGATACACTTCTTGATTTTGATAGTTCAAATAATGATACAAATAAACATGAACAAGAAACAAATTTAACAAATTTTAATAATCCATTTTTTGATATTAATCCAACAAATACAAATGAAAATTTTAATATTTTTTCACAATCAAATGAATCCGAACAACAATTATTACGTCAAGCATCACAAGAACTTGATGATGCTGTACACGAATTAAGTGACAAACTTGATTTAATTACTGCACCATCACCACCATTAACACCTGATCAACAACAACAGCAACAACCTGTAGTTTCAACAATTGAAGAACATCAATCTGCTATTTCAACAAAAACAGATTCAACTGTACCAACAACACCACCAGCAAAAAAACCTACAACTACTACAACACAACCAACAAGTGCAACTAAAACTAAACCATCATCAGCAACAAGTACTACATCAAAAAGTACTGAACATAAACCAGCTGTTGCTGCTACTGCAAAGAGTACAGAACATAAACCTGTCGTTTCAACAACAAAATCTACTGAATCAAAACCATCAACAACAGCAGCAACAACTCGTAAAACACTTCAACCAGGACCAATAACAACTACAGCTGCTGCTAATAAACCAAAAGTAACATCTACATCTGCAGCTCAAGAATCATCAACAGTACCAAAACCAACAGTAAATATTTTTAATTAATATAAGAATTTTTATTCTTGCTGATTCCTCTCTTCTTCTTCTTAGCGTGATGTTCCAGCTAAACCTCATTCAGCTACAACAAAACCAAAACCTACTGCTAGTTCAACAACAACAACTAAACCAGTAACAAAACCAATTCGTCCTTCAACAGTTCCAAAAACTTCCGATACAACAATACTTTCTACGGCACCGGAAGGTAGTGCTTCATCATCAACAACTAAACCACATATACGAGCACCTCAACCATCTATAAAAACACCAACAAAAGCAACTTCTAGTACTGCTACTACTGCTGCTTCCTCGCATGCAGCATCATCAACAGCTGCATCTACTACTAGTAAACCAACAGTTACAAGACAACGACCAACATCACATACTCGAGCTACAGGTTAAATTTAAATTTCTATTAAATAAAACATTTTTGTTGTTGTTTAGCTTCAAGACCAGCAACAGCAACTAGTGCATCGACTACTATTCCTCCAAAACGTTCGAGTAGTGCTACTCGTCCATCAACAACTGATGCAACATCACGTCCAACACGTTCAACTGCAGTTGAAAGTGCTTCAGGAACAGCGGTAAAAAGAAAAAAAAAATTTTTTTTTTTTAATTTTATATCTTTACATTGTTTATATTTTAGATTACAACTAAACCTCAATGGAATTCAACTACATCAAAAGTTGGTTCACTTCAAAATGCAACACATAAAGCTGGAGGTGGTACTGTTAAGGTAAATTAATTAAAAAATAAAAAAAAACTAAAGAATATAGAAAAAAACAAAAACACTTGAATCATTAATTATAGAATTCTAATCTTGATAAGAGATCGTTTACAAACAATATATATATAAAAAGAAAAGGTTCACCGAACCGTAAATAATTGTCTTATTAATCGTGTAGAGATTTTATTATGCGTATTAGGATGTCTCGTCCTCATGAGAATTTGACAAAGCGAATAATGACCGATTTATTGAATTGATAACGTAATATGACAATGACTTTTTTCGAGAAGACCTTTCTCGATAATGAAAAACCTTTGGAATCGAAATTTTTTTTATAGATTCCAAATCAAAAATTACATTGGAATGCAAAATCAAAAATTGGTTCACTTGAAAATGCACATCATAAACCAGGTGGTGGTACAGTTAAAGTATGTTCAAATATTTTATTTTTATTCAAATTATCATACTTTATTTTTTTCTCTTAAAGATTGAAAGTAAAAAACTTGATTTTAAAGAAAAAGCTAAACCAAGAACGAATAGTGGTATACATGAAACAATGACATCTGATGATGCTAATGCAACAGTTAATGAAGAACATCATAAAGATGATGAAACATCAGATAATGTTTCTAAAACTGAAAAACATGATAACGGTGACAAATAAAAACAAGTGATGATTATGAAATAAATAAAAAACATTCATTGCATTTCAAATTCTTTTTCTCTCTCTCTCTCATTCTTATTATTTAATCTTTATAAATAGTTGTTATCATCATTATTGTCTGTAAAAATTAATGATCAAAAAACAAAAAAAAACATAAAAAATTCTTTGACATAATTCTCTGTTTTTTTCTTTCTTTTCATCTCTCGATCTCTGTACTTTTGTTCGTAATTGCATTATTCTAAATTTTGTCTCATTCATTATATACATATATAGTGATGACATAATTTAAACATTCATATGTTCTTCTTTTTTTAGAGCTAGACATTCTTTCTTTCTTTCTTTTTTTTTGTATCATGATCCATATATTTCTTTCTTTTTTCTTCAAACGTATTTGCTGGTTGTTTAACAGGAAAAAACACACAAACAATACAAGATATTTACTAAGTTCTCTGTTCGACTTATGTAAAGCAGAATAGATGCATTCTTTAAAATCTTTTGTTTTATATGTATTGATATTAATAAGAACAAATTGAACTAATCAAATCAATATTTACTGAATATGAAGTTAAAGAAAATTGAATCTATTAGAGTTTCTAGTTCGTAATTTTGGAATAGATGTTACAATTGGATATTAAATAGATATACATAACAAGATATGTTGATCTTTTCGAATAAATGAATTTTTTTTGTTTTTATGGGATAATAGAATTGTCTAATCTTTACTGTCCTTTCTTTTCCGATCATTAGGATATGCTTGTTTAATATATGAGTATTATTATCAAATGAATTATTATTTTAGAAAACAGAAAAAGAAAAAAAACCTTATTAGTGCATTCCCTTTGGGTTTGAAATGTGGAACTTACATGTATTCTTTAACCTCATTATACTAATAAAATATGTGTAAAGCGAAAAATCTTTTGCAAACTATAAATTTTTTGTTTGTCTTGTTACTATTCGCTCTTGATGTCGTTTTTTTTTGTTCTTAAATTGATAGTACTATTATTTTTACGATTGATTTAACTGGTAAATAAATCATTATATCATTCTTGACGACATTTTAAATATATAAATTTTTATTTGCGTAAAAATTAAATAAGAATATGCGTCAGCGTATTTTAGTCATGTAGATTCTAATGAAAGCTAGAAGAATTCCTCAGTGGCTAAGGTCTATAATGAAGGAGGAGAAAGAGGCAACTATAAAACTTTGACTTTAAACTTACATTCACTAGTTTTGTTCGAAAATAGAAGTGAGTCTGATATTTGAAAAATAAATACAACGAAGACAGTTTGAAATATAAGTGACTTTCGTTATTATTCATATTAAATATAGTCTAAAACGTTTAATTACCTGAACATCGTTAGGTTCAAATTTTATAATTATATGTAAAAAAAAAAAGTTTGATTCAAAATAATAAATAAACTTCGATTGAACTTCATCTCATTTAAAAATATTCCACTGCTCTTAGTTCAAAATCACTTGACCTTTTTTTTTTGTTTCTAATCATATTAAATTTTACTACTCCATCAACACTTCTCATTCAAGTGATCGATTCAAACATGAAAAATTCAATATCAGTTATCATCTTTCATATCAATTTTAATAAATGAACAATTCATTTTTAAAAGAAGCGCAAAATCTTTAACCTATTACTCTTGTTGTCAGTAAAGAATAAATTTTTAATGTATTTGCCATTTGTACAATATCATTTGTTAATGATGATTAATTATTTATTTAGTTATTTCATTACTTTGAGAAATAGAAAAGATCAAGAATCATCATCAAATTTGAATTTTGAAATAATAAATGACGTTTTGCAAAACGAAAAAAAAAAAAGGGGAAGAATTAGTAAAAACGTCTCATTTACTAACGAATAATTCCATTTTGTTGTTTATATGTTTGACGGTATTATTCATTTTTATGCATAATTAAGAAGAGAAAAAGAAGACGAAAGGGATCAACATTACTTTTTCTATTGTTGACCAAAGACAACAAAAGCAACTGTTCGGATTTATATTGAACTTATTCTCTTTTTCGTTAGCTTACTCTTTTATATCTATATGTCTCGGTTTTTTTTTTCTCTTCCCGACATATGTATTCATATCAAACAGATCGTCATCTTAAGATCAACTGTAAACTGTCCTTCAATCAACAATCATTTAGTACGAGAGAAAGAAGATACGCTCATCAGTTGTTGGATGAAAGTTGAAACCAAGTATAAAGAAAACGTCGGACCTTGAATCGATTATTGTTTCAATTAGATAGACAACATAGACAGAATTTATTTTGTGTGTCGAGACATGAAAGGCAACAAACAAAAAATATGTACTATGTAAAAGAGTCTTTTCTTATGTCTATATTCAAGAGATACAAAGCGCTTAAAAACTAGAAAAAAAGAATCATGCGAAAGTAAGATGATTTGCAATAATTTTCTTTCTTTTTGTCGCAAAAGATAATTAATTTCTTTTTTTTTTTTTTTATACTCTTGAATAGAGATATATTAATTTGTTTTATTCTAATTATTTCTCTTTCACACATACTTGGACATGGACGAATGGAAGATCCACCTGCTCGAAATGCTGCATGGCGTTTTGGTAAGAATTTGTTTGCCAATTTTTTTTTTCATTGTTAATTTTAATATTAGGCTTTAATATTCCCGCTAATTATGATGATGTTGGATTAAATTGTGGTGGTTTAAGTATTCAAAAAGCAAATGGTAAGTTATTTTGCTATCAACTATAAATTTAATAGATTGATAATTAGGTGGTAAATGTGGTGTTTGTGGTGATTCTTATTTGGGTTCACGAGATCATGAAGTTGGTGGTAAATATGCAACGAATATTATTGTACGAAATTATGTATCAGGCTCATTAATTGATGTCAAAATCTTGGTAAGATAGAACTAAAATCATTTTTCGAACATCTTAGATTGACTTTTTGTTTTATTTTATAGTTAACAGCAAATCATGTAGGATTTATGGAACTTCGTTTATGTCCAGCATTAGATCCCAATAATGAAGTAACACAAGAATGTTTAGATAGAAACCTACTTCATATAGAAGGGTTTGGTACACAATATCCAGTTAATGAAGGAATAGATTCAATTTTTTTAAGGTGAAAAGTGTATTAAATTGATTTTTCTTGACTTTAATTTAATTTTTTTTTTTTTTGTTATTGCATAGAGCTCATTTACCCGATGATTTATCATGTTCTCACTGTGTATTACAATGGCGTTATCATGCTGGAAATAGTTGGGGTACAGATATGGTGACAGGAAAATCATGTCTTGGTTGTGGTCATCAAGAAGAATTTTACAAGTAATTACTTTGGTTTTCCTCTATCAAAATGATTTCAAATTTGACTTTTGTTTCAGTTGTGCTGATATTAGTATTGCTCCCAGAGACAATGATATATTATTACCAATACCAACAACTACTACAACACAAGAATCATTATTTGTTTTTCCATTTTTTGATTCGTTTGTTTTTCCTTCGAGCTTTGAACATTTTCCTGCATTTGCCTATCCAACTACAACTACGACTGAACCGACGACGACGACAACAACAACAACAACAACAACAACAGAAGCAATAAGAACAACAGCGATGAATGTTATATTTCCACTTCGTCCATTAAAAGAATTTATTAATCAAATAAATAAAAACAATAAAACACGTCGTTGTTATCCAACTAATGAAGTTCTTAAACCAATAGTTGGTATTGAACATTGGTGTTTGCACTTATGTGCTGTACATTGTCCACCAACCTTATGTGCTTGTGTTCAAATTTGAAACTATATCTCGTATTAAGAAATGAAAAAGACAAAACATAAAACTCTTTTACATTGTTTTATTCTTGTGTATCATTTTATTCTATCTAATAATATTGACATAAGAAATAATCATTTTATCATTGTGTTTTTAAAAAAAAAAGAAAAAGTAACCATCAAATTATAACTATAAAAATGTTATTATTGTTGTTGTTTTGTTTTTTCATTTTCAGGATACTTATTAATTCTTACGAATCGATACATACTTGACCATGTATATAATTGATCAATAAAACAATGATTTCTTCATACAATGCAAAACTAAAAACAATAATCAACAATACGTCGTATATCCAAAGAAAATTCGTCGAAATTCGGATCTAGTGTAACTGAGATTTATGAGATACGACTGCTTTATTCATTGTGTTGCCTTTTTATCTTCTCCTTTCGAACATGAATAGTGTTATATTGTCATAGAAATATAAATTATAGAAGCAACGTTCATTTCTATTGACTACATGTCTCTTTCTCATTCTGCGCTACGTCCACTTTTCATTTTTTCGTTTTGCTGCAAACTTCTGCAACAATATATTTTCACTTTTACAAGCAACGCAAAGTATTGTGGAACAAAATATGGCTTCTATTCATACTTTTCAATAGTGATAGCTTTACTATCACAGACTATTTAATTTACAGTTGTTCGCCAATACCTAAAATATTAATAAGATGGTAAAGTGGGTGTGGCTATGTTGTCAGGATCTAGGTGTAGATAAACGTTGCTTTTCTCTTCTTTCACATCCATATTCACCGTTCGTTGGAAGTAACGTTTTAGCATGACGTCACAAGCAAAGATAAACTTATTGAGTAACATCCCTCAGTGTTAATATAATTAGCACATGAGAAACAATCAATTTATGCGATCGATTTCTTTTTCAAAGAATCCATTAATATATATCTCTTTATTTGTTATGTTTATGATTTATTTCTCTGCATCTATCTCACAGTTATTCATTATTTTAATTAGCTGAATACTTATATGTCGGCGTCCCTATGTAGTAGAAAAAACTTTGTTCTCTGTGAAGCATGAAGATCCTCTTAATTTCTACGCTAAAAGATATACAGAAGAAAGAATAAAATGAGTATGTAAATCATATTTTTAAAGGTGTTCACTTTTTGTATCATGATGTACTTTTGTGAAACGAACGATTTACAAAAACTCAATGAGCTAATCTT